ACAATGCCTGTAATGCCATGTATCATGCTTAGCCTTTATTATACTGGGTCGGAAAAAGATGTCTCAGGGTTTTCGTTAATCTAAGGGTAAAATTAAATTAAACACAGTGGCACAACTAGAATCAGCCCTTGTTTATGATTAAATCGACCTCTGAATCTTTTCACCAAGGCCAACTCAGGAGTGCCATCGAACCTAGTTAATAACATTTCGACTTATGTCGGCTGGAATCTGGATGCTCCTCAGTTTGCACTCATGCCTTGAGTTTTATAGTTGCTTCTTTAGATATTTTTAAACGAGCCCAATTTGGGAATAGGAAAAACGAATAAATACAGAAGAAAAACTTTGTATTGAGTTGATACAGCAGATGACTGAATTACGTGATGCTAGTTCGCAACAGAGGTCAATGCAAATGATCTACCGAAGGCCGTTTAAAGCTATTTTCTGCTATTCGAATCATTAAATTTTGCATTTAGAAATCACATATAAGACAGAAACAACGAATAAACATGAATCGTTCATCTTTCGTGTTGCCTTTATTTAAACCTCATGGCACAAAATCGGCTTCCTCTTCCGGATTCCCGCGTCAAATTCTGCCATCATCATCCCAACCAGAAGGCAGATTCTTGCGATTTCTGAGCTTTGCCGGTCAGCTGGGTGTGTTTTACGTACCCCAAGAACTTGTCCATGGTGTGCTGAAAGCCTGTCAGTCTTGTCTCAAAGTCGTGTACAGAGAGACAGGAGGCTGTATGCAGATCACCCAAAACGGCAAGATCGGTGAAGTCCAGGTCAGTCGGAACCAGGTTGGCCAGCCTCGACGGCAGATGCGCCACCACCTTCTGGCCCCAAGAAGTCTCGGCAAGATGACCCCTCAGCATCAGGTAGCACAGTCTTAGACTCAGCACATCCTCGTCTTTTGCCATATCCTCAGTCTCCGACTCCACATGGGGCTCTCGTCTCCTCTTTGAGGTGGTCTGTTTGAGCAGACGCGTGATGGCCTCTTGACGCGACGCATCGAAGCTGTCCATCAGGATAGCGATCAGCATGCTGAGCAATATAAAGACAATGCAAAAAGTGAAAAATGTGAAGAACATTGGGCCAAACCAGATGTCTTGGTCCTCGTAATTTTCGACAAAATTGAATACGCCCAACATGACCGAGATCAGCTCCTGAGCCGCGGCCGAAAAGCTGGAAAATGCGGCTGTAGTCTCGCCCAACAACAGGTAGAAGCTGTTGACAAAAGCTAAAAAGACAATCATGAATATCGCGCCGAATCCAATCAGCTCCTTCGAGGCGTAACGTAACACGCGGCCCAGTTGGCGGATGGTGTGAGTGAAGCGAAGCAGATGAAGCGTTTTTAAGATGACGATGAGATGGAGACATGCGAGTAGGTAATTGAGCTGTTCATGCCAGAATGCGATCTGTCGAGAGTCAAGCCGATCATTGCCGTGGCTTCGCGCGAACTCGTTGGCCAGTCGGTGAGCCTCAATCACGATCAACGTGTACACGCCGATGCAGGCCAGCGAGATGGTCAGAATCGTGGGGTCGAGGAAGGCCCACGGCTTCAGAAAGTAGGCGAGTCGAAGGTGCCAAAGCCTAAGACCTTCCTTTAAGAGGTAGACAATCAGCACCAACACAAAGGCCACCTGTATTGTCGGAGTAAACAAGGGAAAAGCGGGATTCTTGAGTCACTTGGTTACCTTTATCATCTTAAACGAAAGAGGGTGAATATATATCATATTACTGATTTACTGGTAGTTTCAAAGCTCCACTTATATAAACAAATTAAGTAATGTAGTCGATCGTTATAGCAAAAATACGTTTGCTTTAACGAGTTCGTAGCTTGGTGCGGGTAGTGGCAAAACTGACTAATGATGCCGACTGCAATGCCGGTGAAACATTTGAGAATGTAGCAAGTCCGCTGTCTGATGCTGAGAATTATAACAACTAATATGGCAAAGGTGTGTTCTGCTAAGTCGCTCTGACAAAAAGACCAAGTTGCGACAACGAGGTTAACTCACTTTTAATAGAAATATACAATGCATGTAATTTACTGGTCGTCTCAAAACCTTACTTGCAATGTAAAAATATGTAAATTATGAGTTCATAATGCGATAAAAAAGTCACTTTTCATTTAAAGTTCATCACATATTACTAATTTACTGTTAGTCTCGAAACTCTACTTGCATACGAAAAATAAGTAACGCAATCGATTGTAATAGCAAAAATATATTTGCTTCATCGACAATCCCACCAAAAAATGTAATATGACAAAAGGCCTGGCCTTCCTTGAAATTCACATCTGTTCTGTGATCCAAGGCACTCGTGGCAACGTGGCCGAGTGGTTCAATGTCAAGCTTCCATTCTGCACTGTCACAGTTCGACTCCGCGTGGGGGTCTTGATAAGGCCGTTGCGAGGTCGAAACTGCAGTCCATTCCAGCCTGGATGAGAAGAACTTTAGAGAAATGTCAGCTCAACTCATATAATTGTGGGAAAGTTCAACTACCAGTCCTTCGTCAACTTAAATAAAATAGAGTGAATACATCTCATATTACTGATTTACTGTCAGTCTCGAAAAACCTTATATTTTGTTCGGCAAATCCAGAGACCCACAAGACCCATGTAGAAAAAAATATACTTAATAATCAGATAATCCGAGAGCCTAGGTTCTCGACACGAGTTCCCTGATAATTGAAGAATATCTTTTACTTGTATCGCTACTCACTACTAAATGTTTATAGGTAAATTTGGATTCGTAGAATTTATTTATTTATCTCAGTATTCCAGCTGTTAATATTGTATTTGGTGGTCCTTGAAAAGGACCGGAAAATTAAAATTCTTAACTATGAAACGAACTCGAAGCCCAGTCCTTGAAATAAGTAATAATATATTAAATAAGTATTAGGCTAAATAAACAATCAAATCTATTCATATCATTGTGGGAAAATTCTACTACCAGTCCTTAACCACTTTAAACGAAATAGGCTGAATACAACTTATATAACAAATTCAGTCACATTAGATCGCTTAAGGTGTATGTAAAGACTGATCGTGAGCCCCCCACAATCAGATGAATATAAATAACGATGCCATTGAATTCATCAATGCTATGACTTACAAATGGCCTCCTCGTCCGGACGAAACCTTGGCCTCGAGGTCATAATACTGTCATATGTGTACACACAACGGGGTTCTGTACAAGATCGGGCACGACTTTTAAGTCCAACATTTTTGAGGCAAAACTACAGTTGCAATTACACTCGACAGCCTAACTACAACACAATTAGTATATTTGGAAACCGCCCCTTGAGTTTATTAATGTTGGTAGGTAGAGCATCAGTAACTCAGGAATAAGAGCTCTATTTATCCTATCATGACATAAATTTCCATTTCGATGGAAAAGTTGGTTGGGAGCGATTTATGAAATGGTTTTACCGAAAACCTAAAGAGTGCCTTGGAATGAAGATTGTTGGATTACGCAAAGAAGTCTTCGGCTCACCGTTCTGCGACCCAGATGAACCTGTGCAAAACATTTATCTGTACTGCCATGATAGACATAATCAGAACAAGAATGCACACTTTGCGAAATAGCGTAAAAATATACTAAGCCCTAATCACTTTCTTATACACCTAAGCTTTCGATTTCAGCGAAGCGTCTCAGGAATTGGTTGGCTCCCTCAAACTTCCTCTACATGCTTGCAGATAAATGGAGTTAATTCACAAACCGAAAGTTGATTCGGTAGCAAATGTTTCCTTACATAAATAAACAAGCGTACGATCCTCTATTTTTCACTTCTGTTCTGAGATGTGCTATTGGCTATGGAGTGTATGCGATGTATATGTCATGTCAATTGTGATAGTCTTAATATGTGATGTTGTAACCCAATTTCGTTTAAGGTCTTAGCTAGAATCGAGGCTAATCCGGCTTCCTTCTACTGTTCATTGGCTCTTCCTATTCTCTCGCTCGCTCCATCCAACAACCACAAATAGTCCGAACTCAGCTTTCTACACATGTTCTTCCTATTATGGACGTTGAGTCTTTTGTTAATCTCTATAGACTTCCTAATCTTACGCTTTAATGAGCAGTCGCCGTAAACTGCAAAAC